CATCCATTAAGTTTATTTAGCAGACATATAGTCAGAAGTTTTGTGTATTTCTTATAGCACATGTTTTAGAGGAAAACCTGCTAAATATTTTTATGATGCTTTATTTTGGGCTTTCCATACTCTTTTTGAGCAGTTCAGTATAACTAATGCTGTTACAGGAGTCAGGTTCTTTCATTTCCTCCGGTTGCCTTGTTACATGCAGTGTTACTAGTTTGATGCCCGCCAGAGCTGGCAGGGTCGGGGGCCACAGTGTGCAGTGGGACTTGGCTCAGTTTGAAGTTTCTAGGGAATGTCATTGGAAAGAAGAGGGCGGCTTCCTGTGGGCAGCGTTTCCTCAAGGGCTTGTTTGGAGAGGAGGAACGCTGCTGATGCATGCTGCCCCTCTCACTGTGCTGCAGGTCACGGTTGCAGGCTGCCCATGAAAGGACCTGGGGTTAAAGGAAATCAGTCTATTCTCACTTAATCCTTCTTATGTGCATAATTTAAGGTTAGGTTTATCTTCCTCCTCCTGAATCCTGGCTGACAGACTCAGTGGTAAGCTTTCAGCTTCTGGAGGAACGTGTCATAAGAAGATTGCCTTCTCTCTCTGCCCACCAGTCCCTAGGATCTTTAACCACCTCAAACCCAGGCAGTGTGAATTAGCCAGGTTTTGTTTAAGAAGAGATGTAAGATGATCTCGGACCAAATGACTAAAATCAGTAGGAGGGTGAAGGGAAATTTGGAGTCCCAGCCTCTCCATCTCTTTTCTCTCATAAATTTTAATTGGAAGATAGAGAAAGACCATGTTGTTGGGGTATAATTTGGGAATAACATTTGCGTGTATGTGCTTTGTGCCCTCACTTTAACTTCTTGATTCTCCAACAAAGAACATGCTGCTCTGCCCCTGCCCTCTCACTTGAGGCAAACTTCTGCCTGCCAGAAACTACCAGACAATTGAGTGTTTTGCCTGAAGGGCTTCCACAACTTCCCCTCTCAAGGCAAGTCTGCCTGTTTTGTCCATCTTTATTCTTAGGAACATCAGTTCTGTATCTCTGAAGCCTTGATCCTTAGGAAAGTCAGTAAGAACCTCTCGGTTGAATCTGAGCCAATCTTTAGAACCCAAGAGAGCAGAAGAAAAACTGTTGGAGAAACCCACATGTAGGATGTTCAGAGAGTTCTATAGGATACTTGTTGTCTCTACCCTGTGTGGTTTCGAGGAAGCACTTAGTGGAGTTTGGGTCATGGTATCGCATCTCAGTGCCTCCTCAGGGGGTGATCTGCTGCCCCTTTAGGGAAAGAAACTGAGCAACCAAACTCCTTCCATTGGCCCTTTCTGTTGTCTGTATTTTTCGGAGTCTTGTTTTGAAGAATCAGAGTGAGGAAATGGTAGGTGGGATTGAAAACAAAGAAGAGTATCTGAAACCTGGGGTACTTTACTTCGGGTACATGTATCTGTCCTGCGTATATGGAAATGGCCACTGCACGTGCAAGCAGATTCACTTTTCTTTCCATCTGATAAACTCCATGTGATCTTCCTGGCACGGAGGACTCCCGCTTTCCCTGACATACCTGGTCATCCAGCTGTGGGTGAAAGAACCACCCAGCTGCATCCCAGCAGCTTCTGGGTATAGTTTTCACCAGGGCAAGAGCGGTAGGTAATAAATGAAAATCCCACCCCAAGGAGAGGTGGGAGAAGTGTCCAAACATGTTTTCTCTCCTGCTATCCTCTAAGAACCCAGGGAAATCTATGATGTGATACCACTTTTGTTAACATGGAAGAAGAAAACTTTGCCCCGCTAAGATTCTCTTGTTGTCTCTTACTACTTAGAAATTCTAATCTGTGCCACACTGCTGCTCACACACATATATGTTTCTAACCTTAGCTTAAGCCTCCTCAGCCCTTGAAGCCATTATTCTATTTTATTATTTTTTATGGCACTAGAGAATGAAAACTGAAAGTCTTAAAAAAGAAAGAAGTCTCTAACTAACATGGTCTGATTAATTAACTTTACTGTTTCTCCCCTTAAGACTTGAATGATTTTCTTTCCTTAGTGCTATATAATAGATCGATAATAAGTGAAACCTTTGCTGCTACTTTCCTGGGTTTACATCAGTTTTTTCCTTCCCTTAAGAATAATTTATCTGTGCTTCTCTGATGACTGTTGATTTCTAATATGTGCAGAAAGAGGTGAGCTTAAGATTTCTTCTCTTGCTCTCCTCATCCTAGCCCCAAACCACACACTAACCTCTAACTCCTAGAGCCTGTTGGCGCATGTACAAGATCCATGGGACAGAACTCATCAGAAGCTACTTGTGTTTTTTTCTCACCATGCCATAGCTCTCCGAGCTGCCCCCGAGGATCTGTGATGACCCAGTCCACAGGGTAACTCTGGGGGGGGGGGGGGGAGGCTTAAGGCCTTTCTGCCTCTCTCCATTCCTGAGATGCCTCCCATTCTGGCCGCCTCCTATTTCCACCCAGGACTTGTTTCCAGGTAACCTGCATTGGGTATTTCCCAACTGCTCTCACCTTTGCCCACCTTCCAGTGACCCTGAGAGCACAGACCTGAGAGAGAGGCCTGTGCAGAGCTCAGAGAACTGTGAGGACTACCCCTGCCTGTCAGACTCTGTTTGGGGACAGAACAGAGATGGATGGGTAAATGGTGCTGTGGGAGAAATTTTTATCTTTAAACGAGGCTGTTTCATCCCTATACCCCCAACCCCCACCAGGGGGTAAAGTGCAGATTGTGTTTGACTGGCGGGGTCTGATCTCCAACACCACGGTCTGGCCTAAGCCTTCGCCAGCCATTCAGCCTGCCCATGTGTGGGAGCTGCTGCTCACTAGTTTCTCCGCCAGGCCTGCTCCAACTCTCAGCCCCGCCAGTGCCTGGGGCCAGCACAGTTCCCTGCATGGTGACTAACACCAGGTTCCAATTAGCTGTCCAAGTGACTGTGTTTCCACCCAATACTTTTGGCACTTGAGGGTGGGGGGTGGGTTATTTAAAATAAAATCCAAGGTGGCAGTAGAGGATTCCTTTTGCTTTAAAATCTTTGGACTAAAAAAAAAAAAAAAATGTTTTTTATATATAAATATATAAAGTAATGTTATGTAACTATTATTGTTTCCTGTATGTTCTAATTTTGTTTTATGATGTAATTAAAGGAAATAAGATACGAAGACTTTTTATTTTGCTGGGGAAATAGCCTGACTTGGAGCTCTGATTCTTCCTTGAACCCTAGAACTATAAAGGCTCCTCAGGCTGAATGAAGGGGCTTCTTTTTGGTATCCTTGTATTTTTTAATACCCTTTAAATCATTCCCTTTATTATTTAATGGCCTTTATTTAATAACCTGCACTTCATTTGTTTCTAAGAAAAAGAAAAGACATAATAGAAACCAGAGTTTCTAAAAACTCATCTTAATTTGTTAGTAGCAGTTCAACCTCAATCCCGTATCTGTAGGAAAACACAGGCTCCAGAGTCAGATTGCCTGACTTCCCCGTGTAGCTTTGGCCATTTAGCCCCTCCGTCTCAGTTCTTCATTGGCAAAGTGGAGATAAAATACCTTCTTTAGAGTTGTGGAGCGTATTAAGAAAAATGAGAATAGCACGTAGCAAACATGTTGCCTGCTTGTTATTCCCTTCATTTCAACAAATATTTTACTGCGTGGTCAGTGTTAGAGTCTGGGTTAGAGATACACGTTAAGTTAATACATTGGGCCCCTGTCCTGATGGAGATGTGCAGGAGCCAAGTCAGCAGAAAACTGCCCAGCCATGAACACCACTAGGGAACCTGAGCGGTCATAGGCCCCACTTGAAATCCACTCACCCTGCATAAGGTAAAGGCCTGGTGTGGATTAGTTATTGGGGGCCAACACAGCCCCTCCAGGGGTGTAAGCAGGCACCTATTGTCTGTATTGGGTCAGTGCTGGGCTTGGAAGGAGGCACTTTCTAAATAGGTCTTCAAAACTTCATAGGCTGGGCAGCCATCCCCTCTTCCATACATCTTTAATCCGCTGGTGTTTAGAACCTTCCTCCTCCCTACCCTCCCTAGCCAGAGGCCACCTGGCTTAAGACACTGAAGATGATCAGTGAATAATAGCTGAAGTATACGATAAACGAGAAATAAGGAGATACTCTAAGTGGGCACTTTGACCTACCTTACACTCCATGCATATATGAGTTCCCTTTTTGCTATGTTTGAAATTATTAGGAAAGGGGATGAAAAAAAATGAGCAAAATAAGACATGACCCTGTATCACTTTTTCAAGCCCATGGAGAGCTAAATGCCTACCTGGCAAGATGCACAAGTCAGTTTCAGGTGGGTTACAGGCCAAGAGTGAAAAGCAAAATTTACACTTGGAAAACTATGCATAGGGAATTATATTTATGACCTTAATACAGGGCTATATAATGATATAAATTCAACTGCATTTGAAAGAAAGTCCTGTAGCCTCAGTGTTTTAGAATAACTATAGTATTTTCCAAATCTCTAGATTTAAGTTTTTAAATAAGTGCAGTGATTTGATAGTTAAATGGTGTTTTGGAAGCTTCAGTGATTTTGTTTTCACCCAAACTAATTGCAAAGCAAATACTGCCAGATTTATTTATTTCGTCCCAGACTCCATCCTTTGCCCTACCCTGTAGTGTAAGCAGGGGACATCTCCCCCAAGAGGACCATAAAGCCAAGAAAATTGAACAACATACTGAAAATACACCTTTTAGATTTAAAAGATTAACTTTTAATTTAAAAAGGAAAGGGTGAATGCAATTTTAAGCAAACATGAATTAATGCCCACAGTGTTCAGCACTGCACAGGGGTTTTACCTCACAAGCTTGAGAGGCTATGTCCCCGCTCTGACAGCCATCACAGCTGAGATGAATCTGGAGTCTGCTTGCGCCCCCCACGTGATGGTTAGGTGCCACCTGAGCTTGATGAAGCCGCTGGGGGTTGTAATAGGGCTTCTGGTAAACACGGGGCCTCCCAGAATCAGGCTGGCATCAGTCTCTTGCAGTGGGGTGCCCCAGGGCCTAGGTCAGAACCAGGTAGTACCCATCTGGATTCTGCACTGAAAGCAGTAAAAGTTGGGGGTAAAGGGGTGGGCAGAAAGGCACCACTGGCATGAGGCAGGCCCCCAACCATAACTATCACTGCTCTGTGGCTCCAGGCCTACACAGCCTGTGATGCACCCATTACACCGAGTGTGCTTCCAACCACACTTCAAATCCACCTCTTTAGGTAGATCACTAGCATGGCAGGAGAGATGGGTGCTAGGGGACACGCATCTGAATAACCAGAACCATCTTACCTTCCCCAAAAAAAACTCCCTTACATAGAAACTGGGACACTTTCCCACATAAGAATACGCTTAGTCACCTTCATGAGCAAGAAATAGCTGTCTCGGCTTTATGAATCTTCCCTTTGACACGAAGCTGGCATTCTGCAGATGTTTACCAGTTGATTGGACACAGCCCCCACCTCCAATAGACACCCCTTCAAGGGACCTTTTGATCCCCTTTAGGAGACAATATAAGCATCCTCCTGTCCTTATGAGGGCTTGCCAGACCCCTTCTGAAGCCCCTACCTTTTTTTACCACAACCACGAAGTATGACTCATCCTTAAGATTGTGTACCACCTGCAAGAGGGAAGGGGTCACTAAGAGAATTCTATTTTTTTAATTAAAATTTTATTTTTATATTCCCCATACAATTATAACCCCCTTATTTTGACCCCAATCCCTCCTTTCCCCGCCCCACCCCCCCCCCCCCGAGAATTCTATTCTTAGAGCCAAGCAGACTAGAGCAGGAAGAGGGGACTGACCTGAGGTGGAAGACTGGGGTCTTGCCTGGGGATTGCTACCCATTTACCTGGTCAGTGAGGAGAATGAGAATGCCCCCAGGGCCCTGGTGAAAGAGGCGGTGAATCTGATTGGCTGGGAGGGCCAGGAGCTCTGCCAGTTTCCCCATCAGCTCCCCAGCACTGAGTTCATCCAGAGAGATTTCCTGATAAAAGCCTGGGAGTGTGGCCATCGCAGAGGCAGGGTTCAGTGGGGGGCAGGTGCCCAGGGATCCCAAGAGGCCAGGAAGAAGGGGCGGGGGGCAAAGGAACAGCCTCGGGCAGGGTCAAGGTGGGGAGAGAAGGAAAAAAGACAAAAGGTTTATAAGTCTACTTAGTTTTCGCCTCTTATTCCTCACTTTTGGGCAAGGGAGCTTCAGACCCAGGGGTGGGGGGAGCCCCCAGTTTAAAGACGACAGGGGATTCCTAAGAATGATTGAAACCCAAACAAAATACAAATGCTGTAATCCCACATACCAATAAAATACTGAAAGCAGATGGAGTTAGGGAGTAGGATGTGGTGGAAGGAGAGAGGACTAATCTGGTCATGGAAGACAGGAGAATGCCTTGGAAGGCATTCTGAGTCCCAGGAACTCAGGGGCACCACCCTCTCCCCAGGCCAGAAGAGGCTTCTAGCAGCCACAACTGAATTTCTCATCTGAGGAGAGAGGATTGAACCTCACCTGAGTCAGATTTTGCTTGCCCGGAGACCTCCTGAGCCACGTATAAAGTCAGCCGGTGCTGGATGGGTCTAGACAGGAGAACAGTCCACATGTGGACCCTTCCTTACCTGAGCTAGCAACTCCCACGTTAGCCCCACCCGGGAGAGACCCCGCCGCCTCCTGGGCCTCTAGGGAGAGAGGGCGAGCATTTCTGAGGCATTTGATGAACGTTGAACACTGGGAGGAGAGATGAGGAAAACCCCTCTGTGTCCCCAAAAGGCGAGCAAAGCTGATGGGATGGCCACAGGAAGAAGAGGTGAGAGTAGCCTGACTTTCTACCCCGCTCTGCCAGCCATTCTCTGTGGCCTCAGGCAGGTCTCCGTCCCTGGACCTGGTATCATCCTCTGTAAAAAGGGACTGGGACTAAGTGGTCCTTAAGGTGCCTGCAATTTGAACACTGTGAACGTGACTGCTGGCTGAAGGGTGCCCCGGCAGTAGGAAGGGGACTGTGGTCGGCAGTGCCCAGCACCTGACTCTAAGAGTATTGAAAAGGCGTATCCCGTCGGCAGCCCCGCAGATCTGGATGAGGTCCTGCCGGGTGAGCTTCAGCAGATCCGTGCCTGCAGAGTTGGACAGCACCAGACTGAGAAGAGGGGCCTGGTGTCCAGGGTGGCAAGGGACATAGTCCAACTAAGTTAGTCTACAGATAGCCCTAGTGTGTCCATCTGGACATGGAAGTCATACATGGATACAAATCCCAGCTGTGCCACTTGCCAGCTGTGTGTCCTGGGGCAAGTTACCCTCTCTGTGTCCTAAAGGGGTAGTGTATACATTATACGGAATAATACTCAGGAAGTGCGCCTAGCAAACACGGCGCCTGGCAACTCTTAGTCCTAAAGAAGGGTTAGTTGAAGGGCACAGAGCAAGCCAGGACAGAGACCGGCTTCCTTCCCAAGGGCCTGGCCCTCAGTCCCCAATAGGTTTGGCCCCTGCCAGTCCCCAGCCTCACCCGCAAAGTTGGCCAGAATCCGGCAGTAGCTGGAGAACCGGTGCCGGTACAACCACTGCTGGGTCTCTAAGATGGAGGCTCCAGGGTTCAAATCCTGATGCATAAAGAGGCCATTCCAGAAAACAGAAAACACCATGGGCTAAGAACAGGTGGGAGGGGAAATACAGCCCATGCTCTTCGGGGCTCTAAGTCTGACAGGGGACTGGTCTGTCAGTGGGAAATGTCCAGTCCTAGCGAGGAATGGTTGCTTCTGTCCACCAGGGGGCAGGGCCACCCTGTATCAGAGAGTGAGATCCAGCCGCTGAAAAGGCTTTGGGGACAGTGAAGAGGTTGGGGGGGGGGGGGAGACTCACCTCAGCTGCACTGCCTCCCAATGTGTCCAAAGTGAATGGGGGTGAGGAGCAAAGCCTGGGGTTGGGAAGAGTTAGGGTCACCCCAATCAGGCCGGCCCTGGGGTGCAAAGCTATGTCAGTCCAGGTATTCCCTGGAAGGCACAGGGCTTTCCCCAAGGCAGCTTCGCCCTCCGCCCCGCCCTCCCGCATGCCTGCGCTGAGGCTCGCTGAGGGGCTGGCAGGAGAGGGCTCACCTCTCTGGAGACTGGAGCTTACAGGAAAACGGGAGGGTCAGAGCTCCGGGGCTGAGAGAGGGCTGGGAGCCCGCACTGGGCTCTGGCCATGGAGAGCACTGTGGGAACACATGACAGGGCCAGCGGGTCAGCCGGGACTTGGAGGGCAGGGGTGGCCACCTCCATCTGCCATCTTGGACCAGACCTGGTGACGAGTAGACCAAGTCACAGAGACAAAGGAGGAGAGTAAACGAGCTGGCAGGTGTGTCTGGGGAAGGCGGGTTGGGGGGGGCGGGGGTTCCTGAGTGAAAGGTTCGGCGCGGGAAAGAAAAGGAGAGCCAGGCTAAATCTCTTAGAGGGAGGGAAAGTTTATTGCGCCCCGGGCGGACCTCACGCACCCAAGGTGAGGGTCAGTGAAGCCGCGCACGTTGTTAGGGGGAAGCAGGGTTTTATAGGGTGAGGAGAGGTCAGGTGGGAAACTGGGCTCCTACGGCGGGAAAAAGTTTGTTGGGTGGGGGGAGTTTCTTTGTCTGAGAAGAGAGCCGTGGAGGGAGGGGGAGGCTCATTGTCTGAATCCTCCAGGCAGGTTTTCCACATTCCTGGCCCCAGGTGGGCTACCTGGTGGGTTTTTGCATTCCGGCCTCCTGCATGGACCTCTCACTGAGGAGCTAGCTTAAAGCAGCAGCAGGAAGGGGGTGCTCCGGGCAGAGGGCAGAAATGAGGTGGCGGCAGCACTGGCAGGTCTCGGGAGAGGCCCTGGAAGGCTCAGGTCCCGGAAGTCTGTGCCGTTTGTCCCCGCGGGGAACTGAGGACTGTGATGATGTTCTGGAGTATCGCAGCCCTGAGGCCTCAGTTTCCCCATCTGTACAATGAGCATCTTTTCTCTGCCCTCCCTCCTGCCCCACTGTCCCGGCACACACACCTCCACGAAGACCGTGCTCTCACAGGCCATCTGATACTTGTCTCTCTCATGCTGGGGCTGTTTCTCAATCCTCTCCCGGTCTGTTTTCAGTTTCCGGTCAGCTCCTTTGGGCTACAGGGTGACAAGGAAACCTCAGAGGTCCCCTCTTCATCTCCCCACTTCTCCTTACTGAAGGGGCTCTAAGAAAGATGGAGTTCCATCCCTCTGTGCAGAGAAGGAAAGGGTCCCAGAGATGGGGTACCTCACACTTAGGGTCCCCAGCAAAGCAGGGCCAGACTCCACACAGCCAGCAAGGCCGGGCGGGCGAGGGCCCTGAAAGAGGGGGAAGGGGCTGCCTGTACCTTGAACACCTTGATGAGGCAGCCAGCCGAGTGCAGGCGCTCAGCAGGAGGCTCCTTGTCACTGGGCTTGAACGTGTCAATCTGAAGGCGGAAGGGGACACCTTTCTCGCCACCTTTTTTCCGAGGAGTGAACTCAGTGCTGATGCAGTGAACCTGAGGTGAAGAAAAGCAAAGAGAAGGCAGGGTGACTCCCCCTAAAACCTGTTACCTGCCCACTCCTTCCGACAGCAACTTCCATCTCCAGCCAGCGTCTCTTAACATGTCACTTTATCAGGTTGTTTCCCTTGTTCGAAATCCTCCAGTGGCTCCCCAAGGTTACAGGAAGAGAAGCAAAGCTCCCCATGCTGGCCTTCAGCACTGCAAAGCATCAAGTTGCATCTTCCTTGGGGGCGGTTCCTCCTGGGCGGCTCTCACCCTCCAGCCTAACCAGGACTCCCACCATTGGGCCTGAGTTCTTCCTGGAATCTCCTACATGAAAGCTCCCCCTGCTCACATCTGAACACAGACATCACCTTCCAAGGTAGGCTTCTCAATTAGAATATAGGACAACCAGGGGCCTCTCTGGTGGTGCACGGGGTTAAGCACCCCACTGTGAAGCTATCTGCAGCCTCTGGGCTCGGCATGACTTCCATCCCCAGCCAGGGAGCTGACCCACATGGGGCAGCAGACCTTTCCTGTCTCCCCTGCTGCTCCCCTCAGCAGTGTGTTTCGGTTGATCTGTCTGTTCTGTTCCTCACTCTGTCTCTGGTGAATCCTCTTACCACCCCCACACCTCTGCCCTGTGCCCCATTTCTTGTATGCATAAATAAATAAATCTCAAAAAAATATATAGAACACCCAGTTAAATTTTAATTTCAGATAAACTACAAATAAGGTTTTAGTATAAGAATTCCCCAAGTATTTGGGGGGCATACTTACACTAAAAAATTATGTATCTGAATTTTATTTATTATTTTTAAGGATGTATTTATTTATTTTTTATACAATAGCTGGGGTACAGGCCAGAGGCGCGGGAGGGTGAGAGGATTCACCAGAGACAGAGTGGGGAGCAGAACAGGCAGACAAACCGAAGGCACTGTTGAGGGGAGCAGCGGGTGAGACATGAGAGGTCTGCCATGCCATGTGGGAATCTCCCTGGCTGGCCAGGAATCGAACCGGCACTGCCAAGACTGCAGACAGCTCCACAGCACTGTGCTCAACCTGCTGCGCCACGCCACCGGGAGGCCCTGAATTTTAAATTGTTAACTGTGTGTCCTGTTTTTGCTAAACCTGGCAGTCTACTCCAGAAGGCTTCCTGGCCTGCACCCCATATAACATGCAGCCTTTGTATTCTACCTAGCAGTGGGACCCCCCAGGGCAGGCAGGGTCTCCACCTCTGCTCTTACCCACTGCCCGTAGCGGGCATCCCACAGTCCTGTGACGCCCTAACTTACAGGTAGGCAAGACCTCTGCTAGAAAGTGGTGGAACTGAAATTGGGTCACATCTGTCACATGCTTAGACCATGGTGGGCAATCAAATAAAGGACACACAGGGGACTTGATGTTTGGTTATAAAGGGAAGTGTACTCAATACAGAAAATGTGAAGAACACTGAAAAAGGTACAAGGAGTAATACAGGCATCACCCATGGAGCCACCTCACAGAGACAGTTAACACTCAAGAATTGTGTCTTCCTGTCTTTTCTCTGGACAAGGAAAAGGGGTTGGGGGGAAGCAACTTGTGTATCACTCTAATTTTGACATTATATTTTAATTTAACACTCACTTTAATTTGTACAAAATAGAAATCAAGGATGTGAGGGCGATCTGGCTGCGACATCTGTCACCCCATTGATCGCCAGGGTTGATTCGGCTGATCTGGCTGGCTAGGCGGGTGTCCCCTTCCTCCCTCACAGCTCCATGTGCGTCCCTCCCGAAGCTGCGCGCTCGGTGGAAGAGGACGGCCTTCCCCGAATAGAGACGGACCGGTCTTCGGTCGAGGGTATACGAGTAGCTGCGCTCCCCTGCTAGAACCTCCAAACAAGCTCTCAAAATAGAAATCAAAGTTTAAATACACTTGTATGTTCTGTCTTTTACTCTTGGTAAGCCATTTCTCCTGTCATTAAACATTTCTCAGAGACATCATTTTAATGGCTACATAATTTCCATGGTAAGCCTGCACTAAAAATTATTTTAAAATGGGCCTCCCTGGTGGCTTAGGGGTTAAGTCTCAGTGCTAGCACCCCTGCACTGTAGCCTGGGTTCGATCTGGCCCAGGGGCTAACCCACATGGCGCAGCAGACCTCTCTTGTCTCCCCTGCTGCTCCCCTCAGCAGTGTATTGCTGTCAATCCGCCTGTTTCTGCTCCCCACTCTGTCTCTGGTGGGTCCTCACCCCCCCACCTCTGGCCTGCACCCCAATTCTTCTACACATAAATAAGTAATCTTTAAGAAAAAATTATTTAAAAGTCTATCCTCATCAGATGGCATTTTGATTGCTTAAAATCTTTTAACAGAAAAAGTAATACTTCCATGGAAGTGCTGATAAATATATCATTGTGTGCTTACTGAACACAAAGTCCAAATGTCTTGGATAAATTTTTTGAAGTAGAACCATTGGGGAAAAGACTATGAAAATTAAATGTGATACATTTTGCCCAAGTCCCACCCTCCTACAGAGAGGGGGTGCCAATTTGCATTCTCGGGCTACCAGGATGTCTGTTTCTCCAAACCTTGCCAATAATATTTTTTTAAGCCTTTGCCAGTTATATACATATATACATTTATCATTTGCATTTTATGAGGCTGAACTATTTACATTTATTGGCAATTGGATCCTTATATAAATTGTCTACATATACCATTTGCCGATTTATTATTGTGCTCTCATCTAGTTTTTCTTATTGAAATACAAGAACTTGTTCTATGTGTCAAGGATATGACACATTATATGTCATATGTGGAAACTATTTTTCCCACTTGGCGTCTCCTTTTAATTTCACCATGTACTACAGACCAGTGTTTTATATATATGTATTTTTTATATATATATAAATAAAAGATCTATTTATTTATACATACAAGAACTGGGGTACAGGCCAGAGGTGCGGGGGGTGAGAGGATTCACCAGAGACAGAGTGGGGAGCAGAACAGGCAGATGGACTGAAATTCACTGCTGAGGGGAGCAGCAGGCGATGCAGGAGAGGTCTGCTGCGCCATGTGGGTAGCTCCCTGGCCAGGGATCCAACTCATGCTGCAGTGGCTGTGGATAGCTTCATAGGTTGCATCTTAACCCCTTACCCTGTGTTCTGTACTTTCTCCCCTTGCTTTACTGTCTAACCAGTCCTTCCCTATCGTGAGATTTGATAAGCCATTTATCCATATTCTTTCCTCAGGTCTTTTCTGGAAATGACTTATTCCTGGGCCTCCCTGGTGGCCTAGGGGTTAAGTCTCAGCGCTATCATCTCTATGGCTTGAATCTGATCCCCGGCCAGGGAGCTAACTCACATGGCACAGCAGACCTCTCCTATCTTGCCTGCTGCTCCCCTCAGCAGTGAGTTTCAGTCAGTCTGCCTGTTCTGCTCCCCACTCTGTCTCTGGTGAATCCCTCTCACCACCACCCCCACCTCTGGCTTACACCCCAGTTCTTGTATGCATAAATAAAAATAAAATTTTTTAAAAAATGATTCATTGTCCCTCCCACCCAAACTCACCTTCCTTTCCCATTTAGATGGTGCCACCTCTGACCCTCTCCAGCCCCAGCACCAGACTTGCCTGCAGGAAGAGGGAGGTCCTCTTGGTTGGGTCCCAGTGAAACTCCACCGTGTTTAGCTGTGACGGCAGCACTTGGGGGTTGAGCACCCCTATGGACAGCGGCACATCTGCAGGCACAGAGTGGCAAGCAGGGAGCAAGGCTTCTTCCTCCTATCCCTGCCAGAGAGTGTCCCTAAGATGTCCCGAGTCCCTCCACACTCACCGATGTCCAGAATGCGGTCCCCAGGCCGGTTCCACCTCCACCCATCCAGCTGCAGCTGCTCCATGCACTGGAGGCGCCGGTCATGGAAGACCACCCGTGCCACGCTCTGCACAGGCAGACAGTGCTGGGCTTCCAGAACCAGGTCCCACAAGGAGGGTAGGCCTCTCCCCAACCGTGTTTCCCACCACCAGGGGGCGCAAGGACAGAGACTCACTAGTGCAGTGTCCTGATGCTCATCTGACATTGATAAGCTGTGACACTGAGGAAGTAATCTAGAAACCCTGAACCTCAGTTTGTTTTGTTTTTTTTTCTCAGTTTGTTTTTTAAGATTAATTTTATTTATCTATACATATAAGAACTGGGGTACAGGCCAGAGGTGTGGGGGGTGAGAGGATTCACCAGAAACAGAGTGGGGAGCAGAACAGGAGGATCTACTGAAACACACTGCTGAGAGGAGCAGCGAGCGAGACAGGAGAGGTCTGCTGCGCCATGGGGGTCACCTCCCTGGCTGGGGATACAACTCATGCTGCAGTGGCTGCCAGTAGCTTGATAGTGCTGAGACTTAACCCCTTGCGCCAGCAGGGAGGCCCTGAAACCTGTTTTTTCATCTGAAAAATGGGACAGTTCCTTCCCACTTTTGTTCACTCTAGCCTTTTCCTTTCTTTTCTTTGCAGCACTTATCAATTTGTAGGTCAGTTTGCAACGGCATATAACCTGTACAATCACGTGTTTGTCTCAGTAGAATGCAAGCCCCTGAGAAAGGGATTGCATTTGCCTCTTTGCAGCTGAATTCCTAGTTTGTAGAACAGCTTCTAGAAAAGGATGGCAGCAAATAAGCAATTTTTTGAGACAAAGAATCATGTGTGTGAATGATGCTGTGTAAATGTATTTCTAAACCCCAGGCCTGCTACTTACTGGCTCTGTGTCCATGAGAAAACACTTAACCTCTCTGCCTGTTTCATCAACAATCGCTACCCACCACTGAGATGTTGTGAAGACCAGATTAAAAGAGGGACTTGAGAGGGTGCCACTTGACAATGACTTCATAGTGATGACCTTGGCTTCCTGTGCAGAAAGGCAGTTAAACCCAGCCCTTGCAGGTCTGGGAGTGCATGCACCTACCTTCAGCAGTTGGGGGCACTGGGTAGCATTGCCCAGCTTGAGGTTGCAGAGCATCCGAACCTCATAGGACTGGCCTGGGGAGGGGGGATAAAGGGAAAGTGAGCCTGCTGCCCATAGGCCCCTTTCCTCCCCCTGGCCCAGCATACCCTGGTTCAGGTAGGTGAGGCTTTCCTCCTGCTGCCTCACTGCCGGGGAGGTGGCTGCACAGAGCACATACTGGAAGGAGGGGTAGGGTGGCTCCGTGCTGGGGACAGTGGGCAGCTCTTCCTGCTTCAGGTAGGGCAAGGGCAGAGACTCCCTGCTGGGGAAAGAAGAGCACTTCCGGTGTCTGCCTGTCCACCCCCTCCCCTAAGGGGCTCTGACTCTGTGCCAGATCCTCCCTCTAGGAAACCTGTCTCCTGTAGCAGGTACCCCAGCATTATCCAGGGCCTAAGGGGCTCTCATTCAGTCCCTCTGGCCTCCAGGGCCTTAACAGAAGAACTCTCTCAAGGTGCAAGGTCCAAATACCTGTATTTGCCAGCAACTACTTGTTGCTGCACTTGCCTAATACCCAGTAAATGCTCCCCAAAATGTCCTGCATGGGTGAATGGTCAGGGTGAGCTCACCTACCTGAATGTCCCAGGACCCACTAAATTCCTGTACATTTTACCACTTCCCCACTCCCAAAGGAAGCCAAGAACAGTGAGGCCACCCCCTTGGCTTGAAACAGATTACCCTGCCTGGTCCACCCCCACTCAGATGAGGGCCTTCTAGAGAAGGCAGGGGAAAGGAATGTAGCCCTTACCTGAGCAGACTGCTTGGAGGCCCGGGGCACAGTTCTGCAGGACTGGCCCAAAGGTGCTCTGGTTGGTTATGCCAAAACAGCATCTCTGAAAGGGAGCAGGGCCCACGGCGTGGGTGGCAGACCTTAGCACCGGACTGGGCTGGACTCACTGGGCCACCACTGGCCTCAGCCTTTATACACAGAAGCTTCCCCACAAAAGGGTGGGGCAAAGTCTGGCACTCTTATTGGCTGAGCACCCAGGGCTCTGGAAACCTTGGGGTCTATTAGGCAGCCCAAGCTGGGAGGGGTGGTGTCAAGAAATGGTGTCCCCAGGACTTCTCACCAATCGTGAACTTGAAGGGGAGATGGCAGTGCAGCAAAACAAAGTCAGGGATGGACAGCTATTCTCACACACACACACACACACACACACACACACACACACACGTGCTGTAATGCCTGTTTAGGGGACCGGAGTTTACAGAACAGAGTTGAGCTTGCTGTGGAAACAATGCAGAGAGAGGTAGAGAGGTACTGTTGGGGGAAAGCCAATGGTGAGGCTGGGGCCTTAGAAAGAGAGGAGGTCCAGCAGTAGGGCTGGTGTCTTTGCCCTTCCTCTACCCTGGGGCATGGGGTTGACTATGTTTATGGACAAATACAGTCTGCCCTGGGGAGGGCTTCTGTCCCAGTACTCAGGCCCTGTTGTCACCATACACAGACAGCCCCAGCTCCCTGCCCACCCCCCATCCCCACTACTGTGTTTGTATAAACAGAATAGGACCTTGCAGAGAGCAGAGTTAGGGCCCTAACGACTTGACCTTACTACATGTGACCCTAGATACCCAGACTTCATGATTCTGGAGGGCCTTGTCTAAAGGATATGGAAAGAGTATCCCCACACTCCAGGCAGGGCCCCTGGCCCTTGGTCCTATACCTGCTCCCTCCTGCAAGGCCAGCAAAATGAAAGTGAGAAGAAAAGGGAGGAACTGTGAGGGAACATTCTAGCCAGCAGGGGCCAAGAAACCACCTGCTGCCCAAAGTTTGATTTAAAACCAGGAGGCAACCAGGGACCTCCCCAAGATCTGGCAGAGCACGATCCCAGCAAAGACAGGGGAGGGGAAAAACAGGAGGGGTCCTGGGGGGCATGGCCCTGGCCTGGGAGGAGTGTGTCAGGAAGAACTACAGAACTACGGGGCTGATAGATGAGTAGGCAGGGAGTAGGAAAGGTTTCTCTGAGGATACTCCAGGAGCTGGGCAGGACTTCCGCTCCTAAACCCAGCCCCCCACCTGCTCACCTTCCCCTTCCAAAGCTGTGCACTTCTGCTTCCTCTGGAGTCAGTTCCTCCCCTACTCACTGCTTCCCCTCCCACTCATCCCAAAGTCTCTGGGCTTCTGTCCCTAAGCAGTGCTGCTGTGTCTGTTGCTAGTTTTCTTCGAGTCTCTCTCTGAGGAAAGAAGAAAAGCCAGGACTTGAGGCAGGTAGCCCCTGGCCCCTGACAGCCTGGCCTAGCTCTTTCCCTTGCCAGGTGTCTGTCGAGGTGTAGGGACTGCACAGCTCAACCTCAGGCCTGGAGAGGTGTTAGGTTAGGAAACTTCTGGTATAGCCCTCCAACTCTCAGAGTTGCCCTGAGGAAGGGGCAAGACCCACATCCACCCTGTGTCTTTCTGAACCTTCCTTCCTCATCTATAAAAGGGAACAAGGCTTCCTCCTCCCCTTCAGTGTGGCAGTGAGGACTAAAGGGAATTTGTGGAGTCGCATCTCATTCCAGCTTTTTTTTTAAGATTTATTTATTTATTTATACGAGCACTGGGTACAGTCAGAAGCGCGGGAGGGTGAGAGAATTCACTAGAGCCAGAGCAGGGAGCAGAACAGGCAGAAGGACCGAAGTGCACTGCTGAGGGGAGCAGCGGGCGGCAGGAGAGGTCTGCGCGCCATGCGGGACCCTCCTCCGGTGGCCGGGGAGTAGCCGGGGATCGAACCGGTGCTGCAGAGGCTGCGGGCAGCTTCGCAACCCAGCGCTCAACCGCTGAGGCACCGGGGAGGCCCTCATTCCAGCTTTTAATGCTCATGAGCATCACCAAAGATACCGTGCCTCCTCCCAGTGCTGGGGGTAAAGACATGACCACTCCAGAAACATCCTCACATGCAGGTCATTTCAGGGACAATTTTTTTTTTAATGGGCTTTTTCCCCACCCAAAGTTCTCTATCACTTTCTAGGCCATGGCATAACCCAACCCTAACAATATCCACTGGGGTTCCCGAAGCCAAGGAAGGAAAGTTGTGATCTGTAAAAACTGCTGAGAAAGAACAATTCAGTGTCCGTCCTCCAGCAACATCACAACCTGGAGAGCTGGAGGGCGAGGTCTAGCCTCCCTCAAAGAAAGAGGGTTGAGACTGTTAGGGGGAAAGGCTGTCCTAAAGCTAATTCCATACAGGCTTTGTGGACTCCACCCCCACCCCAGACCAAAGCCAAAAGACCAGCGCAGTTTCTTCACGTGTCTCTAGGCTCCACGCGCCTCCTCCAGGTCTCCTGGCTCCATCCTGCTTCCTTCCTCAGTCTCCTCTGCAGCTGCTTCTCTCCTGCTCAGCTCCACCCTCCCTTGGGTGGGGCAGGGAACCTGGAACCTCCCCCTTTCCTGGGGACCCCCCTGTTACAAGAAGAGAAGTGTTTCTCGTGCATTCATCCCACAATGTGTGCTCGATGTGCCTGAGGGGTCTGTGCGTCTGTGGCACAAACGAGGCACCTCCGGAAGGCGCTTCCCTCGCCCAGCGAGACGTCTGGGGCCCGGGAGCTGGGCTCCGGCCCGGCTCACAGCGCCCTCTAGCGCCAGGCAGCGTGCGGGCCTGACCGCGCTCGCGTCCCGAGGCGCCTGAGGGGCCCCCAGCACCAGAAGTCCCCCCCAGGGAAGGTGCTTCTTCCCAAGCTTCTGAACCCTTCCAGCAGTCCAGTCATTTGACACTTACGTTCCCCATTTCCTGTCTCTGTCCCTTCCCAGATTCCTTCGTAGCAGGTAGCAGTCGAAGCTTGTTTCTTTGTGTACGTTGTTTTGTCATCAAGAGTGGAAGCTCCCCCCTCCCGACCCCCCACAAAATGAACTTGCAAGTGCAGGAAGTGTTCCACAAGGGGCAAGTTTTTCAATATCACCACAAGGGTCTCTGGCCCGGTGACTGGAGTTGGATAACAATCCTTGCTACAAGTACAAAATCTCTTTTTTTAATGAAAAGAGTAGAAGTCCTGTAGAAGTACGGACTAAGAGAGGGTTACCAGTGACGGGGCGAGGAGTAGCCACGGACTCTGAGTTCAAGTGCTGCTGTGCGGGTTTGAACAAGTGACTTAACTGTTCAGAGCCTCAAACTACAACTGTTAAAAAAAAAAAAAAACGAAACACGGGAGGCAGCTCTCCTCCCTGCCCACCTGTGACTATGCAGGCCTCTTCCTTTTCCCAATAAACCTGTCCTTTTAAAATGTAAAATAGGGGGCCTCTCTGGTGGGGCAAGGGGTTAAGTCTCAGCACTATGAAGCTATCTACAGCCACCTCAGCACGAGTTAGATCCATGGCCAGGGTTAGGGAGCTGACCCACATGGTGCAGCAGACCTCTCCTGTCTCCCCACTGCTCCCCTCAGCAGTGTATTTCAGCAATGTATGTTCTGCTCCCCACTCTGTGTCTGGTGAATCCTCTCACCCCCTCCCCCACCTCTGGCCTGTACCACAGTTCTTGTATGCATAAATAAATCTTTTTAAAAAACTGAAATAAAATGTAAAATAATAATAATAAATTTAAAAAATAAAAAGGGGGTGATGAGAGCCTCTCTCCCATAGGGCTAGAGTAAAAAACTATTAATAAATGAGATTATTATTGGGTCTTTAGTAAGTGTGGGTGTGTTTTTCTCCATGTATCCCTTGTGCCTAGAACATAATGGATTTATTTAACACTTAAAGGCACAGGGCCTCCCTGGTGGCGCAGCGGTTGAGCACTGGGTTGCGACGCTGCCCGCGGCCTCCTGCAGCTCCGGTTGGATCGCCGGTTTGATCGCCAGTTCGATCGCCGGTTCGATCCCCGGCTGCTCCCCGGCCACCAGAGGAGGGTCCCACAAGGCGCACAGACCTCTCCTGCGCTGCTCCCCTCAGCAGTGTACTTCGGTCCTTCTGCCTGTTCTGCTCCCCGCTCTGGCTCTGGTGAATTCTCTCACCCTCCCGTGCTTCTGACTCTACCCAGTTGCTTGTATAAATAAATAAATAAATCTTCAAAAAATAAATAAATAAATAAATAAATAAATAAATAAATAAAAACACTTAAAGGCACAGGTTTAACATGCAATTTGCAGCAACATGGATGGCGCTGGAAGGGATCATGCTCAGCGAAATAAGCCAGAAAGAAAAAGAAAAATACCGGATGGTCTCACTCATAGCAGGAATCTAGAAAACTTAAATAAGGGACCAGGAAAATGAATAACTATAAGAAAGTGAAAATCAGAATCAACAAAAAACTATGAAACAGAGACACTTTTGGGGGGGTGGGGGGTGGGAGGGGAGGGATTGGGATCAGAATGGGGGGGTTGCAATTGTATGGGGAATATAAAAATAAAATTTATTAAAAAAAAAAACAAAGCTGAAGTGTGCTATGTGAATTGAAAAAAAATAAAATAAAGGCACAGGTTTATTTATATAATACTTATAAGTAGAGAGGGTTTTTTTTGTTTTTTTTTTATTTTTTATTTTTGTGGGACCCTCGCCGGTGGCCTGGAAATGAACCTGCGCTGCAGAGGCCACAGGCAGCCTTGCAGCCCAGCGCTCAACCACTGCGCCACCAGGGGAGGCCCTAGAAGAGTCTATTTATTTAAGAAATAGTTCTTCAGTGCTCCGTATGACTTCAGAGTGCTTTTCGGTTTACCTTATGAGGTAGATGGGATTTTTTTTCCCTCTACTATTATTGCCTCCCATTCTACAGATGGGGAATCTGAGGACCAGAGAGGTTAAGTGGCTAGTTCAAGATCACACAGAAGAGACAAAGTCAAGGTTTGAAGACAGGTCATCGGAGTCACAGTCCTGCTCTTAATCATTGTACTGTGCCCTAGTCTGCCTGATAAATATGCAAAGAATTTAAAAATGAATCTCCAGGCAACATTCCACCCTGGAGAGTAGGAGAATAAGGTCTACCCTTCCCCAGAAGAAAAAGGCTGAAAGGGAAAACATTCCTCATCTGTACATTCATTCAATAACTCCCAAAGAGATATCAAACCCTGGATGCTGGTTTCCTCCGACAGCAGAGGCAGTGGCCCCAGGCCTTTCTGCAAAATGGGAACAAATACTTTCCATTGCACTTCTGGGCTGTGAGCCCTGAGGATGAGTAATATGAATGATATCGGCTGGGCTACTGAGATTATGACCAAGGGGGGGGGGGACTAGAGATGGGGCAGGAGGGACAGGAAAGGTTTGGTGGTCTCAACAGTCCTGCCTGTGACAGGAGTCCTGCTAGACTCGGGCTGCTCTTGGGATGAGCAGCACATGGAGGCTACAGCAGGGAGGAAAAGGCGGCTAGGCAGGGGAGGTAGCTTGCTCTGAGGGGTTGTATGATGGGGAGGAGGCCCAGACCCTGCACATTACAACCACCCAATGAGATAGGACAGTCCCATTTACAGACAAGAATACAGAGGGAAGGGCCTCCCCAGTGGTGCAGCGGTTGAGCGCTGGGTTGCGAAGCTGCCACCCTCTTCGGCGCCGGTTCGATCCCCGGCTGCTACCCGGCCACCGGAGGAGGGTCCCACATGGCGTGCAGACCTCTCCTGCCGCCCGCTGCTCCCCTCAGCAGTGTACTTCTGTCCTTCTGCCTGCTCTGCTCCCCGTTCTGGCTCTGGTGAATTCTCTCACCCTCCCTGGCTTCTGACTGTACCCCGTGCATGTATAAACAAAAAAACAAACAAACAAACAAATAAATAAATACAACATGCCTCTATTAAAAAAAAAAAATACACAGGGAAGCAACTTGTCCAAGGTCATAGCTTGTAAGGCATGGGATGGAGCCTGAATGACCTCACTGCCCTGCACACTTGCTATCCACCCAGGTCTCAGGCCAAGACAGAGGACAGTGTCCTGTCCATTCCTGCAGCAAAACCAGAGATTCTTAAAAGTCTGCTGACTTGGTCCCTGTTTTCAACTTGCTGAACTTGGGAGCCAAAGAGATCTTCCTAAGACATGGGAATGACCTTATCCTGCTCTAGGGAGCACTGCTCTGTGTCCCATTGCTCTCAGCACTGTCCTCCACTGGAGGACAGGTCCCCTGTGTCACCATGGTCCATCTTCCAGGACGTTGGGGGCACACAATAGTTAGCACTTAAAATAGTTTCTTTGATAGGAAAATCAACATGGATGTTCTTTCTTTTTTATTTTAAAAGATTTATTTATTTATGCATGCAAGAACTGGGGTGCAGACCAGAGATGCGGGGGGTTGAGAAGATTCACCAGAGACAGAGTGGGGAGCAGAACAGGCAGGTCTGCTGAAATACACTGCTGAGGGGAGCAGCGAGCAAGACAGGAGAGGTCTGCTGTGCCATGTGGGTAGCTCCCTGGCCAGGGATTGAACTCATGCTGCAGTCGCTGGTGATAGCTTGATAGCGCTGGGATTCTAACCACTGTGCCACCAGGGAGGCCCTAGAAATTCTTCTTTATACTTTTTTCCCCACATGGGTATTCTTGAGTCAAATTGAAACTTGCACAAACATTTAATCTAGAGCCTTCCAGGAACACCCAGCTTCTTGGCCCAGCCTTCAAGGCCTTTTGTCCACTTTTTCTGTCTTTCAGTCTCACCCCTCCCCCTGCTTACCTGAAGCTTTCAGAACAGACTGTTCTGCTTCACACCTCTGTGCCTTTGCCCAGGCTATTTCCTCTGCCTGGAACACTCTGGCCCCACCACCTTCTGGTCTGCGTGATGGCCTCTGTCAGTAAGGAACCCACCTCTCCTGTCCTCACTTTTTCCAATTCCCCAGGTCAGCTCAGAGAGACCCTCCATAGGGCTGCATTTTCTGGATCAGGAGTCACAGGAAGGACTTGAGCAAGGCAGGGATCAGGAGCTCTCTGTGTTCAGAGCCACGAAGGTACTTAGTAAGGAGCTCTTGTTTTCCAGGTCTCAAATGGAGACCCTCAAGGGCCTGGCCTAGTGGCCCCTGCCTGAGGGACATCTGGTGCTGCTTTCTGTGCAGCCTGCAGGGGGTGGTGTGGGCTGGCCCCAGTAACCCCTATTGCATCAGAGAGTACAGATTCAGTCAGTTAGAAAACCTCCCTAGCAAGAGTGACCCAGCTGACCTGGAGGGAAGAGTTAAGGGCTCCATCCTCCCAATCTCAACACCTTGGCATCTCCACCCTCATGCTTCCCCCAGGTGGTAGGGCAGGGTCACCCTCTCTTCTAACACCTGATCCAGTTGCTTCCAGACTTCAACCTCCCTATTTTCCACCAGCTCTCAGCAACAGTCTCCACTCCAGTCTGCCCCAGGGGCCCTCTCCAGCAAAAGATCCTTCATTCAGAGTTTGGGACTCTGAGTGCTCACCTCTCAAAAATTTAACCCCTGATAACTACCCTCTGGGCTCCACCCCCTGGCTCACTCCAAGGTGATGGCTTTGCTGTTACCTTGGCAACAGATGTTTTGTGAGGGGGTGGGGAAATGAAAAGAAAGAAAGCCATGGCTTCAGGACAGTTTGAGAGGCCTGAGAGATAAGGGTAGGCAAAATGGCACAGGGCCTGGGGAGAGGCAACCAGGGGCTGTGGCCACACGCCCTCCACCGGCAGCCACCGCACAATGCACAGGTTTGTTGTCAGCCTTGTAGGGTAAATGAATTGGTCAGGCTTTCACGCTGCTGGCCTGGGTGGCTATCACCTGAGGCCTTGAGTGCAGAAGGCGCTTGGGAGCATGGGCCTGAAGCACGCATGCCTAATGGTAGACACCTGGAGTATGGCGTAGGCATGTGTAAGTGGGCACACCTGAGCCAGGAGGCTGAGGCTACAAGGGCGGCATCACTCAGACAGGAGAATGGCTACAGCGAAGCAGCTACGAGAGGATGAGCTGTGTGACTGTGGAAAGGCAAGACCATGAGGAAACGCCCAAGAGAGCCCAGAGAAAGAGTAAAGATTCGCTGGGGGCTGGAGGCCTGCCAGCTGCTTGGCCTATCGGGCCTCCCTGCCTTGCCAGCCTGCGGGCTTGCCCCACAACAGTTGGCACAGAAAGACCATTAAATCCTGAAAAAGCCACTGAGGCCTCTCCTTTGTCCGCCTGCCCAAATCGATAAACTGCCCTGTGCTTGCTGCCCCGTACAGCCCTGTATCCCCAACCTCAAGGAGAAAAGAGCGGAATGGAAGAGAATGTCTTCTGGAAAAACGTTTTCTTCATGAAGAAGGGACAGCCCCAAACTCAAATCCCCTTCACGTAAGAACAGGTCTCCTGGAAAGCTTGGCCGGGTGGGGTGAGGATTGTAAACACTGGAGCCCACGTTGTTCTCAAGGGAGCCTGGGGCACAGAGAAGGAACAGCGCACCTAGGGTGTGTGAGGGACAGTGCCACAGGCAGTGGGAGGGCGGCTGTATACCAGTGTCCCGGGCTCAGGGGCTGGCGGCAGCAGGAGGTGGAGGGGCCTCCTCTAGCCCTTGGGGACCTGGCTGTCCCAGATGCCAGTCGGGAAGTGTGTTGGGCACTTGCGTAAGAGCCCTCCATATTTCCATAAAATCTTAATTACTGATGCCTGCCATGCGCCTTAGCTCATTAGAACGGAATCTGCCTCTGGGGCCCCAGGTGGGCTGGTTAGGAAAAGTAAAGGCGACTGGACGAGGCCAGGCCTCTCACTGCTTCTCTGGCCCTGCCAGTCTGGCCCTTTTCCTGTCCCCAGCTGAGAGATGAGGACCCAGACCTGGCCTCAACCATGATGGATCCGCCCCCTGCCCAGGAACCCTGATCCTACAGCTGGAGGGAAAGACAAGCCACTCCTTTGTTCAGCTTGGGCAGTCCTTGGCGACCCCTAGAGACAGAGGGCACAACGGAGGGATTTAAACTGAAGGGGGTAATGGGAGAAAATAAGTCATTCCTTATGGAAGGAAGGAGAAGTCCCTCAATTCAGACTCTCAAACCCTCAGACTAGAGGGACCCTGGGGCTCCTTCGGGCCTGTGGTTCTTCATCTGAAAGATCTTTGATTCTTTGAGGAGCAAATGAAAGCCCTGGGCTCTCCCCTAGAAAATCCTCCAAAAACTTACACTTTCAAGGGGTTCATGAACTCCCTGAAGCTTACTGGCAAGCCCCAAGTTAAGGGTCCATTATCATCATCACCTGTTGTGCCCCTACACTGTCCAGGTGTCATACATACCAACTCATCTAGTCCTCAGTGAGGGATATTATTGTCCCCATTTTAATCTAACTCCCCATTTCAACCTAGCCTGGTCCAATTATGCCAATCTAAAAAGAAGAAAACAGTCCCTCCAGAGATGGACAGTTCTCTGCCCAAGGTCACAGACAGGATGCAAAGGGCAGGCCAAGGTGAAGACCAGGTTCTGTCACTGTGCTGGGCATTGTCACATGCAGATTTGAAGTCATTTGGGCTATCCCTCTGCCCCTTGACTCTCGCAGGCCCAGAGCCCATCAGCACCCACTCAGTTCTAGTAAGAGGCATCCCTTAGGTCCTGCGTGGCTGCCGCTTGGGAGCCCGTGGGTGGGCGTGATGGTCGCTAACCCTGCTGGAGCACTGCGGCCCTGGCTCTGCCCACCCCTCACTTCTGCCCAGATGAATCTGAGATGGAGCAACATTCTCCTCTCCAGGAGAAGCTAGCCAGGCTGCTCCTACCCTGCCCCTGAGCCACTGCAGTGGGAGTTGTCCACGCTGAGAGAAATGACTCAGACTTAGTTGGTGAAAGATCCTGGGAGCACAAAGACTGCGGGCCAGAGAGGACATCCAGAGGTCATGGGATCCAGCCCCACCTCCTCACAGCTGTCTCCAGCTCAGGCTTCTGATGTCAAGGCTATGTGGGCCCAGGGTCGACCAACTTCCCTGACTCACCTCGGGCACTGGCACCACTGATTCCCCTGGGAATTCTTCCCTGAGTTGTCAGAATCTCCTCCTGGCCCCCATGGACTAGCAGGCTCCAACAGCAGAGAGAAGTGAGGGAGGGAAGCTGTTTCTTCTTTCTGCCTCAGGGGAAACACTGGGAAGGGATAAATCTCCCTGAAGAAAGGAGGGAAAGAAGAAAATGAACTTTCCCTGACTGTTTTCCCTGGACTAAGTGACAAATCACATGGCCTCCTTCATTCTCCTCGCCATGAGGTGAAGCTCCATTTTGCTGAGGAAGAATTCAAGACTCCAGAAGGTTTAGTTGCCTGCCCAAGGTCACAGTTAGTTAGGGGTGAACCCAGAGCCTCTGCTCTTTGGGGGAAAACAGGGGTGCCCCCCAAGGAGTCTCCAAACACAAAAATCCCTTGTGCTCCAAGCATCCCTAAGTCTGAGTTGCCCTGGGGGGTGGGGCAGAGTGGGCACACTGACTGGGCAGAAGGGAGGAAGGTTGCCCTCAGAATGGATTGGGAACAGGCTGGCAATGAATGGGACTTTGGAGAAATGGGTTTGAGGGTTGATGCCAGGTTCTATTGAAGCTCCTTTCGGGAAAGTTAACAGTCAGTTCATGGCTGCAGTGGTTTGATCTAGAGGGGGAGATGACCAAGTCCCCACAACCACAAACGCTCACGTCTGCCCTTGTCCTACTTCTGCCACTGGCAAATACATCTCTATTCCTGGACACAGTAACCTGAGCAGTGCTCCAAGGCTGAGCTCATCCTTGGAGGCAGAGATTGCATGAATGGCTCTGTGCATGGGCAGGCAGGAAAGGGGGGGCACAATGCTCAGCCCCTGCACTCCAAGGATGGCATAAAGGCAGGAGGGCCATCTTGAGTGCCACACCCTCCCCAGCTCATCAACACAACAACTTCTGAGGGAAGTTTAGATCCAGAAGTCTCTCCACTCATACCCAGGAAAGCATTCTTTCAACCCCAGACCTACCGCTCCTTCCTTGGGTAGACCAAGATGTGGTTACACCTTTTGGTCAGGGCCTGAAGAAGCAGGAACAAAGAGGACTGGAGGTGAGGGAGGGGGACTTGGGGAAGAGCAGGGACGCAGTGTGCACCTTCACACCAGCTGCACAAGAGGCACCTTGGAAGGTCCCCTTCCCCTCTCCCCATCCTGTGACCTAGCTCCATTTGTGGTAGGGTCTTTAGGAGGGGGTGGTGTCAGGGAGAGGGGACCTCAGATGTGGGGACTGAGGGTCCTTTTCTGCTGAAGTCCAGACACCAGAATATAATTGTACTTTCCATCCACAAAGGAGGAATTGTCAGGCTTGGCCTTTGACATATGGTGATAAGTCAACCCTTCTCTGCTTGAGGAAACCCTATCCCATAGTCCAAGGATGTGTGGAGAGAGTCTCTCCAGGGCAAAGAGACATGCATTTAATGGGGCACAAGTGTCCCCCTTCTTTCGGCCCGAACCTTGGGCATCTTCAATCTTCAAGCCCTAACTTCGATTTCACGCTCAACTATTCCTCTGTAGATCAAGCTATTTCTGTTCCCTTAACCCCACTGAGACTCTAAAACGACATCCCGAACCTCCCTCTACCTGTCATGCCCCACCCGGGATGGAGGGGTTTTTTGGAGTAAAACTGCCCCACTTCGCTACGCTCCAAGCCCCGCCCCATCTCGGCGAGCCCCCCCAGGCTCCGCCCAGCCCGCCTCTCGGCCCTCGCAGCAACCAATAGCTGAGAAGCTCATTTGCATAGCGGCGCGGGGGAGCCGCGGCGCGGAGGGGGCGGGACCAGGCGACCTCCTAAATCAAAGTTGGGCGGCGGGGACTGGGCGGAGGGGCCGCCGGGTGCCGGGCTGGGGCCGGCGGGGGGGAGGGGGAGGAGATGGGGGGCGGGCGCAGAGGACGGCGGAGCCGGCCGCCGGACACCGCGGGCTCCGCGGCTCCCTCCCGCGGCTCATCCTCGCGCCCCACCTCCCTCCTCCCCTCGCGGCGAGCAGCATCCTCTGCAGACCCTCGGCTCCCGCGCGCCGCGCCGTCCCGCGCCCGCGGCTGGGTGCGCTGCCCGCCCCGCGCCCGCCAAGCCCGGAACTTTTTTCCATCCGCGTCCAGGAGAGGGGGGGTTGCTTTGCCTGGGGGGGCTCCCCTGGGGCTCCTTGGGGGGCAGTCTCTGGAGAAGGGCTCAGGGTCCCGGAGACACGCGCGTCACCCGCAGCCTGCGCCCCGCGCGCCCGCCGTCGGGTGTCGGCACCCTCTCGCCCCCTCGCCCCCAACCATGACCGAAATGAGCGAGAAGGAGAACGAACCGGATGACGCGGCCACCCCCAGCCCCCCGGAGGCCGTCTCTGCCCTCCCGGAGACCAAGGTAACTCGGGGGGCGGAGCGGCGAGGCCTGGACCGCCGCCCGACGCGCCCCTGACCCTGGAGCCCCCTCTTGGCGCGGCGGCCACCGTGGGCGCGGGCGCCCCGGGGTCGCGGCAGCGGCATCCGCGTGATCCCCGAGGTCCCGAGCGGCGGCCCGGGGGGCAGCGAGTTGGTCACGAGGGGCCGCCAGGCGCCCCCATCGCACCGGCACGACACGCCCTAGCGCGCGTGACGGGCGGACGCGCCGCCGCGACCCTCGGGGAGGCTGGCGCCCGGCTTTGTTGGCGGGAGCGGCGCGGCGCGGGCGGAGGCGCGTGGGGCGGTGCGGGGCGGGGTGCGCGCCCGGGGTGCGTGCCAGGCGCGCCCTCCCGCCCCGCCGGGTCTGCGCGCCCGCGTCTCTCCGAACGTGTCTCTGCACCTGTTTGTCTCTGTGCCGCTGTCTCGCGGGGCGCGTCCCTCCCGGGCTCTCGGCGGCTCTAAGTGTTTATCGCTGACTCTCCGGCTGTCGCTCCAGCCCGCCGCAGTCCTGCGTTCCCTGCCTCGCAACCGGGCAGGCTCCGGGACGCGAGGCCGCGGCGGGGTGCGCAGCTCTGGAGTTGGCGCCGGGGGCTGCGGCAGCGCGGTCCGGCGCGGGCAGCGGACTGTGGTTGGGGCTCCGGAGCCGGCGGACCCGGAGCCCCAGCACCCACCCGGGAGCGGGACGCGCGCGAGGTGAGGGTCCGGGTAAAAGCAAGGAGAAGCCATCGTCATTAATGAATGTCATAATTAACCCTAATTATGTATGATTGTTACTCCTGCGGGAGTCACAATGAATAAATTATTCCCCTGTGAAGGCAGGCGGGGCCCAGACTCCCGGCGCTGAAAGGGGAGAGGGGAGGCCGCGGCTCACAGTCAACCCACCCACCCCCTCTAATTTGTCTGCTCCCTCCCCAAGTTGTAGGTGCTCAGGACTGACCGGCAAGAAGTTTTTCGTGAGGCCAAGGGGGCTGGGGCAAGAAGGGGCCCTGTTAGGGGTGTGCCCTGCCCCCTCCCCTGACGCCAGGCCAAGATCTTTTCTTGCTCCCTTCTACCCTGGTATCTTGTTTCCACCCTGCTCCTGTTATCCCCGTGGGGGTGGGGGGTGGGCAGAGAGAACTAGAGTGGGGGGGTCTCTGGTGTCCTCTGGTATCACTAGCTCATCTCTAGGTCTTTTCAGTGCACTTCTTCATCCTCACTCCATCTTGACCCACCCCCCCAGGTTATGAGATTAATTCAAGGTCAAGGTCATCTGGGAGCAACCAGGGGCAGGTGAGGAGGACCAGGGTGGGGGTTTACTGAGGCACCCCTGGTGGCTTCCCATCTCTACCCCAGAGGGACGCAATGGGTCACACTTGACCTTCTGCTGCCCCCTTCTGAGATGAGACTCTGGCCTCTCAGGCTACAGAGTTAACTCCCCCCTCAGAGAGCCAAGACTCTACTGGGAAAGGAATGAAGGGCTTGGTTGGGAGGATATCACAGAGAGTCTGTGGGACAGCTTCTTTCAAGCAGAGGGTCCCATCCTGAGTTCCAATGCCTCTGACCTCAGTTGCCTTCTAGTCACCCTGGACAGTATACACAACCCCCGGCTTGCTTCCCAAGGACTGGGGGGGCCTCCCAGGACCTGCCCTGCTTCCTGTACCCAGGTCTGGCTGCTGGCCCCCCTCCTTAAGAGCGCTCCAAAAGCAGGCAGGAGTGCCAGCAGGCGCTCGCTCTGGGCAGTACTGCCTCAGCAAAGTAGCAGGCTGCCAGCTCAGCTGTGTGAGGAGGAGGAGGTCAGGATCTTGCTTGTCTGTACCTCCCTCCTCCCAGCCCAAGGACCCTCCAATGCCATCCCCTTGGGTCTGAGCCCAGGAGATCCCAGGAGCAGGGGGAAGGGGGTATATACTTTACCAGGGTGCTCTGTGCCAAGCCAGTTAGAACCCTGTCCCCTTGCCCCCCTCCCCACACCCCAGCCTTGTCAAGTAAAGGACTGTCAGTAGTAACCACACAGGCTGGACTGTGGGTCTGGGAGGGGCAGTTCAGGGGAGGGCAGAGATGCACAGAGAGAGAATTCAGGACCCTTCCATCGCCCACCTCATCCTGTCCCAAAGAAGTCTGTCTCCAGACCCGAGTGTAGGGGTGAGGCTAGGGAGAGGAGAGTGCTTACTCCATACCCATCATCAGGCAAAGGAGGTTGGTACCCATCACATAGGGAAGCCAATATTCCCTCAGCATTTGGGGCCCCTAAACATTTCTTGGCAACCCAAGTCCAGCCTCCTGCTCACCACCCTAAGGCCGGGTCTCAACCCGTGCACCCAAGCTACTCAGCAACCCTTTTCACACCGACATTGCCGTTTCGGTCCCCATCCTATCCCGCCACACCTAGTCTTCTTTTGTTCCCTTTGGTGCCATCCTTGGGAAGACCCTGCCACGCCAGCTCTGCCACGGCCACAGATGACCAAGAGCAACCTGCTGCCCTGGGCATGTGCCACATCCGCCACCACAGCTGGCTTGTGCCCTTTCAGGAAGTAGCAGGCAGTGAGGGGAAATGGAGGAAAGAAGGGACATCCAGGATGTGGGCAGGTGGGAGGGCCCGTGGGCCCGGCCCTGCCTCTGGGAGGGGACTCAGAAGAAGCAGCTGGTGGTCCAGGCCTGAAGCCAGAGGAGCTCCCCGCTACATTAGGAGGTAGAGCACGTGGCAACTTCTCCCCATGCCAGGGAATGGGTCCAGGACACCAGGGGCACCCAAAAGATAGCGGGGCAGAGGGGAGCTGAGGAAAGGTCCTTTCTGGGGACGAGGAGCCTTAGGGATGGGAATACCTGGCCAGGCTGAACCTAGATGAGGTTTGGGTAGCCAAGCCAAATGTCTCTAGAGTGGGCAGGCATGGAGTCATTTAGCAAGTGCTCCCAGCCGTAGTCCTTTACATCTGCCAGTCACCCCAGAGGGCATATTATTCCTTCCCACTTCTCCACCTTCCTGGGATCTGGGGTTCACAGTGAGCAGAATCGGGGCTGCCCTGGTGCTGGGGAACATTCTGTTCCAGAGGCCTTTAGTGCCTCTGGCACTGAGGCCAGGGGGGACCTGGAAAGGGCACAGTCTGGAGAGCAGGGAGGTTTGAAATCTCGCCCTGTGAGAATTATGGAAATAACAGCCTGGGGGGTAGAAGGTGACATGATTGATGTCTTCAAATATTTGAAGGACTGATGTATGTAAGGAAGGAGTTGCCTTTTCTGGAGCTAAGGGAGGGACAAGGGCCGACAGGCAGAAATCACAGGGAGGCTGGTTTCAGCTCTATATAGAGAAGCACTTTCCAGCCAGCTAGTGCAGCTGCCCAAAGATGGAGTGACTGTCCCAGGGAGGGTGTGCTTCGGTCACAGGAGGTGACCCTCAGAGTCAGGTCGCCATGCCTAGGGGATGTGACCAGGGCATGGGGGGACTTCTCTAGGTGTCCAGTCTTTCACATCCCTTCTAACCCTCAGTTGCGTGACTGACCTGGTGGGCAGGCCCAGGACACAGCTGAGGGCCAAGGCAGGCCCAGAGCAGCAAGTTGCTCTTGGTTATTTGGGCTCAATAGTCAGAGCCACTGATTCAGGTCCTGGCTCTGCTACTTACCAGCTGGACTCATGATCAGTAAGTGACTTAACCCCCATGAGACTCAGTTTCTCATCTGAAAAGTGGGACAGTAATGGTCGCCACCTCAGGATAATGAGATGCTGATCATGCTAGCTCATAGCAGCTCAGTTCTAGTACTCTGGCATGGAGCACCCCTTGCTGTAGCTCTGAGTTTATGTTTTTGTTTTTTGGACTCAGCCTTGTATTGCTCAGAGAGTCTGCCTCCTTTCTCTCTGCTGTGGGGAAACTGAGGCTGAAAAAGAGAGGAAGTGACTTGGCTTCAGGCAGTAGGATTCGCCTTGTCCCATCCCCAGCACATCCTGCCAAAGACTGCATGCACTCTCTGCCCTCAGCTGCTGGGTCCACCAGAGTTCCCAGAACCACCTTCGGCCCATAGAACACATTTGTGTTCCAAGTAATCATCCCTCTGGCCCCCCACCTCTGCCCCAACTCCCAGGCATCTGGGACCCTACTTCTCATATGTACACAAAGAAGCCCACAGTGCTGTCCAGGAAGCTGCATTTGGAAGGAACTAGGCAACTCAGGCTGCCAGACACCCGAGGGCCCTGGCCTCCCTGCTGGCACACCAGGGACTGCCCTGTGCCCAAACATTTCCCTTTCTGCTCCCTCCTTCTGGCTTTCTGCTGGACTCCCTGGTGCTGGGGGGAGCGGGCACCACTTCCATCCCTTTGGCACTGAGTGCCAGGCTGGCAGCCACAGAATACAAGCCACCAGGTGTGCCAGCTGAGAACCCAGGCCAAGTCTCTCTGCCTGAAGCCAGTCCACTGATCCTCTTTTTTCTTTTTAAAGATTTATTTATTTATGCATACAAGAGCTGGGGTGCCGGCCAGAGATGTGGGGCAGGGGTGAGGGGTGAGAAGATTCACCAAAGACAGAATAGGGAGCAGAACAGGCAGACCCACTGAAATACATTGCTGAGGGGAGCAGCGGGCGAGACAGGAGAGGTCTTCTGCGCCATATAGGTTAGCTCCCTGGCCGGGGACTGAACTCATGCTGCAGTGGCTGCAGACAGCCTCATCATTGCGTCTTAATCCCTTGTGCCACCGGGGAGGCCCCTGATCCTCTTTTTTCTATCACTGGTGGAAAGAAGTGGTCAGAGAGAAGGGGGCTCTCAGTGGGAGAGGAGAGGGCCAAGGTAGAGGGTTTCCCAGAACTCACTCTGGGCAGACTCCGTGAGGGTGTGACCCTGTAGAATTCCAGCTCCAGAACAAGGCTCCACTTTGGATTCTGGCCACTTGCTTATCATCTATTCAGCAAACCTTGACTGAGAAGCTGCAATGTGTGGAGACCCCATGGGGCGGGGAGGTTTGAAGCCACCATGCCTGCCCTCAAGGGGCTCACAGTCTCCTGTGGGTGTGAGCCATGATAACATGGACCTGGCTGGAGCTAAAAAGGTGGCAGTCTACAGCGGGCACAAGCAGAGGGAGTGGTTTCATTAGATGAAATTCCAGCACAAGAGAGCTTCCAGCAGGAGGAGGGGTCACTGGAACCCCTGATGGACAGAGGGTGTTCACGGGATGAAGCAGAGAAGGGGACACACCATCAGAAGCTCTGAGGTATAAAACAAAAACAGATAGCTCAGGAATCCTCACATCTGGCTGCTGGTGGAAGGCGTGGTGGGAAGGGCAGGTATGGCCCAGAGGAAGTCTCAGCCAGGGCAAGAGCTGTGGCTGTGTCCTTAGGAGCCATGAAGTGCTTTTAGCAGGGTCAGAGGATCAGAGGTCACCTCCCTAGCATCTGCATGGAGGGCAGATGGGAATGGACAGGTAGACATAGGGGGCTGTGGCTCTGAGCCAGAGGGAGTGTGTTGGGGCCGGAAGGAGGGTAAGACTGGGTAGGTGACAAGGTGATTGTAAGGGATGGGCCCCAGAGATGTTTTGGAGGGAGCCTTATCCCTGAGAGTGAAGGTCCTGGATGACCACCCCCCACTCCCAGCCTGTTCAAGAACATAGGTGGAAAACTGGAGGCCCTGCATGTTTTGCTTGGCCCCCCAAAATGGCCAAAGAATGATGAGACTATGCATTTGTATGGGTTGATTTCCAAGATTTTCTGTTAGTGAAAAAAACAAGGGGCAGGGCCTCCCCGGTGGCGCAGCAGTTGAGCGCTGGGTTGCGAAGCTGCCCGCGTCCTCTGCGGCGCTGGTTTGATCCCCAGCTGCTCCCCGGCCACCGGAGGAGGGTCCCACATGGCGCGCAGACCCCTCCTGCCGCCCACTGCTCCCCTCAGCAGTGTACTTCGGTCCTTCTGCCTGCTCTGCTCCCCGCTCTGGCTCTGGTGAATTCTCTCACCCTCCCGCGCTTCTGACTGTACCCAGTGCATGTATAAACAAAACAAACAAACAAATAAATAAATAAAACATGCCTCTATATATATATAAAAAAAAAAAAACAAGGGGCAGGAAAAATAGAATATTACCATTTCCTCAAATAAAAAAGAAATAAAATATTTAGAATTTGGGGCCTCCCTGGTGGCCTGGGGGTTAAGTCTCAGTGCTGTCACCGTGACAACCTGGGTTCGATCCCTGACCAGGGAGCTGACCGACATGTGATGCTGCAGACCTCTCCTATCTCTCCCGCTGCTCCCCTGCTCCCCTCAGCAGTGTATTTCGGTGGATCTGCCTGTTCTGCTCCCCACTCTGTCTCTGGTGAATCCTCTCCCCTCCCCCACACCTCTGGCCTGTACCCCAGCTCTTCTACACACAAAAAAATAACTAAAATGCTTAAAATAAAGAGCCCACATTGTCTAGTCCTAGATTCAAATGAACATATTATATTAGGCAGATTTTTTAATTGAATTTGTTTCTATTCAATTTCACATAAAATTCTAGATTTCCTTTGATAATTTGGAAAACCTGGCCATATGAATGAACCTCAGCTGGCTAGAGGAGACCAGCAGTAGTAGCTGCTCCTTGTTTGCCACAGTCCCCACCACTCCTAACTGATGTCTGTCCAACCAGAACTTCCCTCACAGAAGCTATCTGCCTGGCTCCTATAGGTGTCTGGGATTGTGACCTACTTTTTGGAACTTGGTATCCAATCTCTCAGTACTTCATTTCACCTCTGGCCCTCAGTCCCCACACGCCTCTGACCTAGGAGACATGGCAGAGGGGATAGTCCCCTGGCGATGCCCCATCACAGCCCCTCTTCCTCTCACAGCTCCAGCGGTTCAAGCGTTCACTTTCCCTCAAGACGATCCTCCGAAGTAAGAGTGTGGAGAACTTCTTCCTTCGCTCGGGCTCTGAGCTCAAGTGCCCCACCGAGGTGCTGCTGACGCCCCCAACCCCGCTGCCCCCTCCCTCCCCACCACCAGCATCCACAGACAGCCGTCTGCCCACCCCGGCTCCCTCCCCCTGCCTGATCCCTCGCCCCCTGGCACCGCTCAAACCAGTGAGGCTGCACAGCTTCCAGGAACACATCTTCAAGCGGGCTAGCCCCTGTGAGCTGTGCCACCAGCTCATCGTGGGTAAGTGCCGGGCCCGGGGCAAGGGCGGGGTCCACAGCGTGTGTGGGGAGAGGGCCTGTGCACCTGTTCAATGTTGGGCTCTTGCTATTAGGGACCTCTAATCCAGCTGTGCCCCTCACCCTGGGCAGACAAGTGAACGCCCTTGGGGTGGGCGGAGGTAGTCAGCTTTGCTGTGTTTACTAACAAGTCAGCCTTTGGGGTCAGCTGTAGGAGGGATAGGCACTGGCTCCCCAAGGTTGGCGTGCGATGCCCAAACCCCTGCTCTCCCCCATATCTCTGCCTGCCTCCTTTGGTCCTTACCCATGGATGTATCCTCACATGACCAACCTCTCTTGCTGCACCAAATCCTCCCCAGGAAACTCCAAGCAGGGCTTGCGGTGCAAGACTTGCAAAGTCAGCGTCCACCTCTGGTGCTCTGAGGAGATCTCCCATCAGCAGTGCCCAGGCAAGACGGTGAGTGGGGACCACTCCAGTCCCTGGCTCAGTGCCCCAGGACTGGCAAGTGGGGAGTGGCCCTCAAGGCTGGGTCTCCCTGTGGGGTGGGCCTTGGGCTGGGGGCAGACTGAGCTCTCGGGCTGTGACCCGCCCACGCCCTCTCTGCCCCTCCTGCCACAGTCCACCTCCTTCCGCCGCAACTTCAGCTCCCCGCTCCTGGTGCACGAGCCGCTGCCAGCCTGCGCCACAAGCAAAGAGTCTCCACCCGCCGGTGAGTGTCCCCCACGCCCATTGCCCTGACCCACTGTGATGTGACAGCAAACCCCACACTCCTTCGATGGGACCTGAGCTCCCTCCTGTGGATGCTCCTGTCCTGATGTAGGGTTTGTTTTTCATCCATTCACAGACTATTTCCTGAGCACCCACTAAGCACAGGCACTGCTAGACACTGGGGAAGGTGCAGTCTGCAGTCGTAGTCTAGTAAGGGAGGTAGATGTGAAACGGATAATAGCACAAGTCACCAGTGAATCATCATTTGGGGAATGCCTCAAACAAGGAGCGGGACTGAAGAAAGTCTGCAGCAGGCGCTGCCCTCATCTGCAGAGTCAGCAAGGCTTCCTGATGCTGAAGGAAGAGGCATTAGACAGGGGAGGGCAAGGCAGGCAGTGGGTGGCCCAAGGCAGGGAGGGGGCAGGAAGGACGAGACATGTGGGGCCAGAGGAGTGAGGGTGCAAGGGGAGCAGTGGGACATGGGTGCAAGGTCTTGGGATCCAGTGTAGAATTGTGCTTTAGATTGTCCAAGGATTTGCATCCTAAGGGAAATTTTTTTGTGTTTTTACAAGAGCATGCTGGCTGCTGTGTGGATTGGGGGGTCTGGCGTGGAAGCAGGGAGGCGAGTTGGGAGGCCGTGACAGTTGCTGGGAGAGTTTGGTAGCTTGGCCCCAGCTGGGAGCGTGGAGATGGCGAAAAGTTGGGCAGATTGTAGAAATGTTGCGAAGTGGGACTAGGTGATGGGTGTGGGCATGAGGAGAGGAGTCAGGCTTGCTCTGAACTTCTGCAGGGCAACAGGGATGGGCACACATCCTCACTGGGAGGGGAGACCTCGGAGGTCAGGCAAGGGAGACATGGGGAGTTCAGTGGGACAGCCAGAGCCTGCTATTCGGAACTGGCGACTGGGTGCCCGGCCTTGAGGGTGCATTGTCAGCAGGGGCCAGCGGGAAAGTAGACCCCGTCTACGAGACCCTACGCTATGGCACCTCCTTGGCCCTGATGAACCGCTCCAGCTTCAGCAGCACCTCCGAGTCCCCCACAAGAAGCCTGGTATGGTGGACACCAGAGGGGAGCCTCAGGAGTGGGGAGCGCTGAAGGCAAGAGTCCAGAGGCTGAACCCTCCCCTCTCTGTCCCCAGAGTGAGCGGGACGAGCTGACTGAGGATGGGGAAGGCAGCATCCGCAGCTCAGAAGAGGGCCCGAACGACAGTGGTGAGTGGGGCTCAGGGGCAGGAATGGAGCACAGAGTGGGTGCTCCCTGCTGCCTCACACTCCGGCCCCCCACCCCCAATCTCTCCAGTGTTCACAGCCCCAGCTGAGAGTGAAGGGTCAGGACCAGAGGACAAGAGCCCTGGACAGCAGGTGAGGTTACGCTGACACTGAGCGCCGGCAGGCTAGGGAATGGAATGTCACTTCTCACTGTCATTGGTCCATAGGTGGGTGAGAGCATGTCAGTGGGGACATCAGCGCCCCATCATTTATCCTCAGGCCACGGGGCTGGACAATGCCAGGGTGAATATGCCAGGGGTAGGGGTGTTATCTCTCCTACCACCTATTGCACCCACAGTGCTCCTCCGAGGGTGGGCATTTCCAGGATACAGCAGGCGGAAGAGCATGTCCCCCTCCATCCTTGGCCCAGTCCCCCTCGGGGTGGGTGGACACAGCAAGTCCTGAAATGCTGCTCGCTGCTCGGTACCACCAATGTCCCGGTCTTGCTGCGGTGCCGTACACCCTCCTGGGCTTTGCTCCCGTCATCTCAACCGAGGGTTCCAGCCACATCTTACCCCCTATCACTGACCCTGGACTCACTGTGCCCCACCTCCTAGTCCCCCAGGTTGGCACCGTCTGGAAGGTGGGCCGTGGGTCAGTGAGTGGGGTGTTTTCCTCATCACTGACCCAGAGCTTTTCCACAGCCCCCCAGAGCCCTCCTGCGGAAGGATGTGGGGCCCATGTACTCCTACGTCGCACTTTACAAGTTTCTGCCCCAGGAGAACAACGACCTAGCTCTGCAGTAAGTCCCCTCTGTGGAGCCGCCCCATTGGCAGCACCTGGCTCCAACCTCAGGGCCTCACCCACCACACCTGGGAATGTGAGTGGGAGGGGGCGCTTCAGGATTTTTCTGGCACACTTGAGGCTGCTGAGCCCAGAGAGGAGCCAGAGCTGCCCAGCGGCCAAGAGGTGAGGCTGGCAGTGAGCACCCCTGCCTCCCGACCCCACCACTTTATGTCTCCTGTCCCCTTCCCGGGCTCTGTCCTGGGGAGTGGCCGCTGTGCCTGAGAGGGGCATGCAGGGGACATGGTGCCCAGAACTGTCTGGGAGGGGCGGGTTCCTCCTGCACACGTGCTCCACAGCTGTCTCCTCCCCAGGCCTGGAGACCGGATCATGCTCGTGGACGACTCTAATGAGGACTGGTGGAAGGTGATGTGGTAGGGTGGGGAGCGGAAGGGCCCTGGTAGGCACCTTAGCAGTCCTTACCTTCAATGGGCACTGCCCCCCTTCTCTCCAGGCCTCAAAGACCTCCTCTCTTCCTGCCACCACCCTAAGGAAGCCCGAAACTGGGGGTGGGGGTGTGTGGGGGGCGCTGGCTCTCAATTTGCTGCTCCCTGCTCTGCCCTAGTCTCGCTGCTTGCCTCGTGACCTCCCAGCCCAGGAGCCACCAGGCTGGGGCCTGAATACAGAAAGCTCAGGGTCTGGAGGATGATGGCCTCTGCTCTGAGTGGGAATTTGGTGTAGAGAAAGTGGTGGGGTCGGGAGGCACAGGTGCTCACTGCCAGCCTCACCTCCAGGGCAAGATTGGCGACCGGGTTGGCTTTTTCCCAGCCAATTTTGTGCAGCGGGTGAGACCAGGTGAAAATGTTTGGCGCTGCTGCCAACCCTTCTCTGGGAACAAGGAACAGGGCTACATGAGCCTCAAGGAGAACCAGGTGAGTGGCAGGCCTGGCAGTGCCCAGAGATGTTGGGTGTGGATGAGAGGTGAGGGCCCCCAGGAGGATGCTGAGGGAAGGCAGGTTAGAAGCAGTGGGACTGTAGGCCCTCCTGTGGCCCTCAGCTGGGGAATTGGGGCTGGTGGCCAACACTGGCAGGGACTGCTTAGGAGAGGGGAAGAGCACTGGGTGAGGAGTCCAGAGGCTTGGGTTTGAGTGCTGGCTCTGCCTCTGACTTGTGTGAGTGTAGGCAAGTCCTTCTGCCCTGTTCCCTGGCGTGAAATGGGAGTGGGGCCTGAGCGTCAGCTGGCTGATCCTGAAGGCCAGTCCTGAAATGCTGCTCGGTACCGCCGATGTCCTGGTCTTGCTGCCGTACACCCTCCTGGGCTTTGCTCCCGTCATCTCAACCGAGGGCTCCAGCCACATCTGATGCTGGTCCTGTCATCCCCGGGGTGGGCCCCGGGACCCATCAGCGGGACAGACTCGGACTTGGGCCAGGGCTGCAGGCCGCGCCAGGCCTCAGCACCATGTCTCTCCCACGCAGATCTGTGTAGGTGTGGGCAGGAGTAAGGATGCTGACGGTTTCATCCGCGTCAGCAGTGGCAAGAAGCGAGGCCTGGTGCCAGCTGATGCCCTGACTGAGATATGAGAGGAGCCAAGAGAACCCAGATGCCACTCCTGCCCATGCCCAGCCCTTGCTTCTGGCCCCGGGAGGGGAGCAGGCACCTGAACACACTTCTTCCCTCTGCTCTCTCCTGGGGGCCACTCACCATGGCTTGGGAGGCTTCTGTACTAAGGAAGGTCTTATTTCTTGAGTGGGGTGCCCTGAAGGGGTGTCTTGTCTGGGACTTGGGGGTGGGGGAGGAGAAAATGGGAAGGAATGGGGAAGCTCCAGGTAGGTCCACTCAGGGCCCAGGTACCCCCAGTCCAGTTTCCATGCCGAGTCCAGCCCTGGGGGCGTTCCTGGGTAACGACCCTGCTGCTGCTTCCAGAGAGCCGTCCCCACGCCAGCACTGCCTTTGCATGCCTGACACCCCCTCTCCCACAGAGCCTCTGCTCTGGTCTGTGTGTGAGCACCCCTGGCTGCCCTTTGGGAAGTGGGTACATGGGAAGGTGCCTTCCTGGGTCCCACAGTCACCATTCCGGGTTGGGATGGGATGCAGGGCTGCGGGAGGATCCCAAATCTGCCTCCTGGCCCCACCATCACTGTCACTCCATCAATTCTCAGGAAAGCTCTGTGGGAATCTCTCCCATTACTTGAAACCTGGGCAGACAGAGGAGGGGAGGGCAGAGGTCAGGGAGGGTGTGGCACATCAGAGATTGTCCCCTCCAAGAGAACTATCGCCCCAGAGTAGCCTCCTCCTACGCCCGTCCACTGGAAAAGGATGCCCAAGAGCAGCCTGACTTTGTTCCCATCTGAGAACAAAAAAATTAATCCATGCTTGGCCAAAACACTGCTCACTGTCAGGACTAAAACCCCCAGTGCCAGCGCCAATGAGCCAGGGGAGCCCGTGTGTCTCAGTTCCTGCCCAGGCCTCGCTTGCTGGGCACGCCCACCCCAGCAGCCCCACCGTCTGGTCTGGGCTGACCTCGCAGTGTCCCTTCCTCTCACCCCCTTTCTCCGGGCTCTGCTGGGGGTAGGGCTGCTGTTGCAAGGACCCCTTTTCTGGCTGTATCAGCAGCCTTGTCCTGGACAGAGAGGACCCTGGGAGGAAGAGGGAGTGGGAGACAGAAAATGAAAGTGGAAATTCTGTTTGGTCACCAGGAAAGGAAGGGGGTAGGCACCCTGGAGTGGGGTGCAGTGGACAAAGAGGACTCCTCCCTTGCAGGTTGCTTTTCTCTGGTGCCATCCTCCCTCTTCCCCCAAGCTCAGAGCCTCCTCTTGTGCCCTTGATCGTGCCAGCCAATGCCACCCCCATCCTGGGCACAGTCACAGCCTCTCATGCGGTGGGAGTGACACATCTCCTGCCCACCGGCCTGGCCCCACTTCTTCCCTGCAGAGGGAGAGGTCACACTGCCCTGTTTGCTGCCATGAGCCCCCCAGCAATGTCCCAGGGGCGGGCCCAATGCCCACTGTACATGAGGCTGCATGAAGGGTCTGCTGGGGCCTGGCTGAGCCCCCAGACTCCTAAATAAATGTTTCTTGTCCCAACCTGTCTGTCCCTTGTGTCTGCTTGGAATAGAGGAAGGAAGTGGGAGGAGTTGCGGGGCCTGGAGCTGCTGAGGTGGGACTAGGCTGAGGGGAAGAGTTTGTTGATTTCTGAGAGGAGGGGTGTTGGGCTGGCCCTGACAAAGCAGAGAGCCCCAAGCCCCCTCACTCCCTCCCACCCCAGCCGCGGGAGACGAGAGGGAGGGAGCTGGGAGGTGCTGAGAAGGGGCAGGGGAGCGCCAGAGCCTGGAAAGACCTGGAACGGACTCGGGGGGAGGGGCGGAGGAGGTTTGGCCGGAGGCCCGAGAGGGCGGGGCTGTGGTCCCCCGAGGTTCCGGGCACACCTGAGACCTGAGCGCGCGGGGCGGGCACACACCTCGGCGCGCCGGACCGTCGCTGTCCATCCGGGGCTCTCCGAGACCAGCCTGCGCAGGGCCTGGGGGGTTCAGTGCCCACTCGAGAGCAGCCTCGCCCCGCAGCCCCCCCAAGCTCCAGGTAGAAACGCTGGGGCTGGGACGGCCGCGGACAGTGGGACCCTGGGGTGCCTCAGGCGCGCCCGCCCTCTGGGACCCGGCACTAAGGAGGCGGGCGGCGCGGCGTTGCCCCCCCCCGCGGCGGAGCCTGCCGCCCACCTGCTCCGGCAGCGCTCCCCGCCTGCCCCCACTCTGCCCGGCCGCGTCATCACCACGACAAGCACGTCCCGTGCTATTTATAGGCAGAGGGGAGCAGGGAGGGAGGGAGAGGCGGGCTGCTGCGGGGGTGCCTGGGCGATGCTGGTGCTGCCAGAACGCCAAGGGGGTGGGTGCCCCTGCTGGGTCCCCACTACCAGACCTCCACCCCAAAAGCAGGGAAGGGCAGGTGGGGCCACCCCTGGGGCACCCTCCCTGAGCTTTTGGGGGGACTCCTTACCCCAGGAAGGCCCTAGAGCTTGGAGGGGGTTGATAGGAGGAAAGGCATCCTCTTCCTAGATCCTTGCTGGGAGGAGAAAAAGGGTCACAAACCCAGTCCAGAGGCTCATAGGCAGGGAAACTCACATAAATAGGCAGCGCCTGTGTTCCTGGAACCGTGCCAAAAGCTTAGTTTGATTTAATCCTCTCAGTGACCCAGTGAGGGAGGTGGTGATATCCCCTTTTCACAGAAACTGAGGCCCAGAGATGTCAGGTGGCTTGGCCAGCATGATTGCCCAATCCAGCCTTGTCTCTTTTATACATGGGGCAGCAGAGGCTCAGAATGGGCCAGTGACTTGCTCAAGGTCACACAGCAAATTAATGGTCAAGTCAGCCCCGGTGATCCTGACTCTACAACTCTTTCCTCTCCCCTCGTGGAGCCCTCATTGCCTTGAACCAACAAGATGGAAACAGAGACAAAGATACCCCGAGAGGCTGGGCCTGGGGCTCTAGGGATCAAGGCCTCACACCCACACGCGTCCTGGAGCTAGGGAGCCTTGCAGCCAATCCTGCACACCCCACTTGTTTCTGCCACTAGCCAGCAGCTGGCCTGGACTCCCGCCTTCTCCCCAGCCCATTTGCCACGCTGCTGAGCACAGCAGCTTTTTTCGGGTGGCTGAACCACTGACAGTATGCTCACAGCCTAGGGGTTGGGAACAGCTGGTGCCCTCCCTATAGCCTCTGCCCTCCCCTCTGTGCCTCTCTGGGGGTGACTGGACCAGCACAGCAGCACCATTGGACTTGGGTAGAGGATGTCCAGGAGCCTGCTGGTAGTGCCAACCTACCATTTGGCTCATTCATTTCTGACCCCCCACGGGCCCTCCCAACCCTCACCTCAGTCTGCGCTTAGCCCAGCATGCCCCACTCCGGGATGAAGGTTATCCAGGCTTATGGGAGATGAGAGCTAGTCACAGGAGGTCTTAAAAGGCAGAGAGATGGATACCAGGGGTGGAGTTGGGGGAGGAACAGACAGAGTGAGGCCCTCTGAGTAGCCCTCATCGTGCTAGCAACACTCCCTTGGCTCTTTGTGCCTTCTGCACCCTCATCCTACCCTCTCCCCCCAGGCTGGGGGCGCCTGCTGAGGAGCAAATGGAGGGCAGCAGCATGTTTAACCCTCTCTTAGGGCTAAGCCTTAGGGCTCTGTGCTGTGGGGACCAACCTAGGTGGTCCCTCTCTTGGTCTGAGGGAGAGCACTGGGAGAGAAGCCAGGGACCCTGTACCCCTTTTCTGGCTCATGGCCCTGCAGCAGCAGCTGTGCTCAGGGCCTCTGCCGCACCCCACTCTGACTCATACTCTCCCACGTCTGGAGGAATCAACAGTGGGGCGGGTGCTGGGGCTCAAGCAATGCTGAGATCATGGGGCGTCATTGGCCACTCTGGGCTTCAGTTCCTCAGCCAGAAAATGAAGAGCTGAGACAGAGTTTACCTGGGGACAGGGTACGCAACATTATAGGGAGGGTCCAGTTGTAGGCACATGAGAGAATGGGCACATCTTTTAATCAGAATTTCACAAGACTCCAGGACGACGTGGAAGAGAGCAGCAGTTACTCCTGTGGATCTGCCTGCTCAGGGCGCCCCTCCCAGGCACTGCCCTGAAAAGAAGTTGGAAATCCAGGGTAGAAAAGCTTACCTCCTCCAGGCCTGGGTGAGGTTCAGAAAGAAGTGACTAAACCCAAGCCTTCCCAAGATAGGCTTCTACAATCCTATAACGCTCCTCTGCCCGCCGCCCCAACACAAACACACACACCCCGCAAAGAAAGCAAGGCTGCTGCCTATACCTGCAGTCACCCGTGGGAGAACAGCACCATCTTCTGGTCCAGGGTGGAAACCAGTTTCTGTGCTGTAGGCACAAGAGCCCTGGGGAGGGAAGGGGCCATTGCTTGGGTTACGTTATTGTCCTTCCATCTAATGCCAGGAGGGGCTGCAGGTGGGTGGCCTCTCATGTCCTTCCTCCTCTGGTCCAGGTCTGGGAAGAAGGTAGCCCATGCTCCAATCTGGGGGCTTGACCAAGACTCTTCCTTCCCCTCCAGGTTCCAGCTTCCCCACCAGCTTCTAGGGTTAGATGCAGGGCTGTGGGATAAAATGCTCACAGCCCGCTAAGTGGACAGCAACTGCAGAAATTGGACTCTGACCCAGGCTCTGATGCACAAGGGTGTGGTGGAGGGTCGCTGGACGTTTCTGAGTCTGGCTTTGCTGCCTGATCTTGCCCCAAGAACACCTTAAGCCTGCCTTTCCCACACAAGTGCAGATGGGAACATGTGCTCAGTACATCTCTTGAATGCCCCTGACTAGTCTCTGCATTGTTCACCCCAAAACCAGAGTTCTTCCGGAAAAGGGTGGAAGGCAGGGAGGGAACCGGGGGCGGGGCATGCTAGTGGTAGTTGAGCAGAACTCTCCCCAGAATTGCCAGTCCGGTACTTGACTGTCCCCTTCCACCCGGACAGGACATTCAAGCCACCCCACACACTCCATGTTTAACAGTACTTGGCTCACAGAGCATACCTGGCCAAGATTTTGTGTATTGTCCTTTATTCCAATTTCTGTGCCCCATGTGCTGGGCATAAACCAAAACACGTTTTTCAAAAATAAGGCAGTCAAGTTTAGAACCTGGGCTTTCACACCTCAATAGGCCCTTTAAGACAATTTGGGTAGAAAAAAAAAAAAAAAAAGACAATTTGGGTAGTAGTGAGTTCAAGTAGTATGGTAACTCCCTTACAGGGGTTATTGAGCTCTGGAGTCCTAGGGCAGATTTCAATCTTGGGTTATAGCACACTTGTGAAGTGCAAGCACTCTATTTTCTGCTGCTTTTTATTTATTTATTTTTTTAATTTTTTTTTTTAATAGAGGCATGTTTTATTTATTTGTTTATACAAGCACTGGGTACAGTCAGAAGCACGGGAGGGTGAGAGAATTCACCAGAGCCAGAGCGGGGAGCAGAGCAGGCAGAAGGACCGAAGTACACTGCTGAGGGGAGCAGCGGGCGGCAGGAGAGGTCTGCGCGCCATGTGGGACCCTCCTCTGGTGGCCGGGGAGCAGCCGGGGATCGAACCAGCGCCGCAGAGGCCGCGGGCAGCTTCGCAACCCAGCGCTCAACTGCTATGCCACTGGGGCGGCCCTCTGCTGCTTTTTATTTATTTTAAATATTTTTTTTTTTTATATAGAGGCATGTTTTCTTTCTTTCTTTCTTTATTTGTTTGTTTTTGTTTATACATGCACTGGGTACAGTCAGAAGCACAGGAGGGTGAGAGAATTCACCAGAGCCAGAGCAGGGAGCAGAGCAGGCAGAAGGACCGAAGTACACTGCTGAGGGGAGCAGCGGGCGGCAGGAGAGGTCTGCGCGCCATGTGGGACCCTCCTCTGGTGGCCGGGGAGCAGCCGGGGATCGAACCGTTGCCGCAGAGGCCGCGGGCAGCTTCGCAACCCAGCGCTCAACCGCTGCGCCACCGGGGAGGCCCTCTGCTGCTTTTTAAAAAACGTAACTCAACTGCTATCACCAGGACTGGTTCCCAAGCAACATTTGATACCTCTGCTGTAAAGGGCATTTTTAAAGAAAAGATTTATTAACTCATACAAGAGCTGGGGTATAGGCCAGAAGCAAGGGGCGGTGAGAGGATTCACCAGAGACAGAGTGGGAAGCAAAACAGATTGACTGAAATACACTGCTGAGGGGAGCAGCAGGGAGAAAGGATAGGTCTGCTGTGCCACGTGGCTCAGCTCACTGGCTAGGGATCACACTGGTGCTGCAGTGGCTATTGATAGCTTCATATTGCTGACGCT